GAAACAAAACTCACTGTTTCATTTGGGGCCAGTCATTAAGTGCTTATTATTCCACAAGCGTGCATAGGATATGACATGATAGATAGACGTGCCTCGTTGGCTATAATCATCTCATTTCATCTGCCTCAAGTCTCTGCTACCACAACGTCGACTGACATTTGATCCTCGACAAAATCACTCCACAGCCTTGCTAGGCCAACTAACCCACTCAGAGTTTCTTTTTCCACCATCTCTCTTTCTCTCTTTCGTTCAAACCCTTCCCTTAAAGCTCTGACGCCATCACCGTCCTCGACTTTGCATTCAGGGGCACGCCCGTCACTGGTGTAAAACCTTGCATGGGATTTACCCGAGTTATGCGAAAGGCTCTGAAGATTTTGCTGTAAGTTTGTGATCTCTTGATTAAGGGCGCACAGGCTGGTTTTAACACCAGTTAATTCGAGCTCAGGATCGGGTAAAATTCGAACATCATCCGGTAGAACTTGACGAAGTGCATGAAGCAGCAGGTAAACTTGTTTCTTGTCTCTAAAAGGTTGAATTTAATAAGATAAAAGAATATCTATTCAAATGTTGTTGTTTATAGTGGTCAATGCGCTTAGCTACACCTAGCTAGTTCACAGGCATGCCACTTAAACTGGAAAAAACAACTATATCAACTAAACATAATAGACTTAAAAATCCCAGTTGGCAGGAGGCAGACCAAGGAGTTGAACTAGGGTCTACCAAGAAACAACTCCAGCTTAGTGGTCAGAGCGGGACTTTAACCCGCGACCTCCGGAATTCCATTCCGGCGCTCTAACCACTAGACCTCGCTACCTGCATAATTTTAGCAAGTCATGTTTAGCATTTTTAACAGCATCCCAGAGTTATTTTAATAGGCGATTACGAAACAAGGATGAGTAAAAGGAGATAAAAGGATGTGTTTGCTAGTTGTGTTTTCTAGTTGTGTTTGTTAGTTGTGTTTTCTAATTGTGTTTGCTAGTTGTGTTGCTAGTTGTTTGTTAGTTGTGTTTGTTAGTTGTGTTTCTAGTTGTGTTTTCTAGTTATGTCTGTACTTGTGTTTTCTACTTGTGTTTCTAGTTGCGTTTTCTAGTTGTGTTTGTTAGTTGTGTTTTCTAGTTGCATTTGTTAGTTGCGTTTTCTAGTTGTGTTTGCTAGTTGTGTTTGCTAGTTGTGTTTGCTAGTTGTGTTGCAATTGTGCCTGCTAGTTGTGTTTGATAGTTGTGTTGCTGGTTGTGTTTGTTAGTTGTGTTCGATAGTTGCGTCTGATAGATTAACGAACACAATGAATCACAATTGCAACTGTGGGGTGAATAAAGAAACATTACCTTGTTACAAGTGTTAGTTTCCCTTCGTTGAGCCCATCTTTTAAAACAATTCCAGCACCAACCAGAGGGCCGTTATCTTTAAAAACAGACAGAAAATGGCCAAATATGTCCCCTTGGTCACCAGTTCCAATCTGAAGTATTGGTACTTCTCTGATTGAACTCTTCAGAACTGCCGTGATGTAGTGTGGTCTGGATATACTGCTCTGTAACACAAGCTTGCGTGATAAAAGAGAAAAAGAATTACAACATTCATAAAAAATATTGTCGCTGTTTGCTTTGATCCTCACCTAGCCTGAGATTTTACCTGAAGAGAGACATCATATGCAATGTCAGTTTTTAACTACTACGGACAGGTCTGCTGTGTCTTGTCCAGTGTCATAATGATTTGGACCGCCTATAGCTTACTGTGCCATATCTACTAGCAGATTTAGACACCTAAGAGTTTAAATCTTGAAACTTTTAATCGCAAGCCAATTATATGGACCTGGAAACCAAACTTCTAATAGCAAATATGGACCAGAAGGTCCAAAATATAAAGAGCATGATATGATAAACAAATAAAAAAGTGAAATAGTACTGCATTTTATTACCTCTGTTTCAATGGAAACTGATTTCAAGGCCTCAATATCTTGTTGAATTGATCTGGGATCCAAATTGCTGTTAACTCTTAGTCTACCATCCATGATTTGTTCAGTGAACAATGTTATGTATCCACAGTGCATTGAATGACGATCAAGGCTTCCATCACTAGTGTAACTTGTCCATGTGACGACAACAGACATTGAACAATTATCTACACATGTGAATCTTGGTATGGAAGATACTGCTGTCAATCTTGTCTGGTTGCCTGGTAACAGTTGTTTGACATTTAGAGCTGTTTTTGCATTGCCAAGTCTTATTCTCTTCAAGGATGGTGATGTCTGCGAATGTGAGAGATTTGAATTTTCAGGTTGCTTGCGATGGTGGTTAACGTTACCACAAATCACAGTCTTTGATGAATACAAAGTGTCCTCTGATTGGCAGCTCACGAGCCCAAGTGTGAGATCAGACACAGCACTGAAATGGTAGAAGATAAAAAACGAGACATAAGGAAAGAATGTCACGTTACAATATAATGACTTAGGGAGGTACCATTCTACTTTTGAGGGTTGGGCAGTTACCCAAACAAATTCTAGTGCGAGAAAAAGTGACAAAAAAAGCAAGCCATGCAAAAGAAACATATGGAATATATACATGTATACAAAAAATTCTTGCAGGATCTGATGCTGAAAATAATATTCTGGCTCAGAAAAATCACCTACCCCACCTCAAAAGTATAAATACTAGTCTGTTCCTTAGTTCAACTTCTAGCTAAGTAAATTTTGCTTGCTTGTGTTACGCAAAATAACAACATATTTATCCACAAGTATTCCAGGCTTATGACCTAGGAGAGGTTGACAGAGCAAGACGGTAATCCTTGTCCCAATCAAGTTGACAGTTTGAATCCCACTTACCCTCTTTACCAATTACCATACATTTTTCCAGATCATTAATGAGACATTTGTGGTGCATCACAACATCAAAATAAAATAATGCACAGCTTGATGATTTTCTTAAATCTTTAATCTGAGTGCTGGGCAATTTATCGTTATCATTAGGAGAAATTAGATTTTAATCAATTGAAAATTAAAAGGAAATGCAAGATAGACGTTACGTGTACCTCTCACCGGTGTTCAGCACATCAATGCCAACAATCCACTGGTCATAAACAATACGCTGCCATATTTCCTTTACAGTCAGTGCTGATATTGACACTGATTGCACAGGGTTACTGGTATCTTGCTTGACTGTAAAACAAGGACCAGAAAACAGAACTGATCTTAAAATTGAACTGCTCTTTTACCATACTTCATCAAGGTAGTCATGGCATATTATTTAGTGAATACATGTGCAATGTAGGTTAGATTACGTTCTAGATATAACCTACCTTCGCCAAGATCTCCTTCCAGAAGACAATGCAGACCTGAACTCTAAAGAAGAAATCAAAGATCAACATGGGTATGCTGATCAGAAGTTTGTTCCCTTGACCAACAAACACAGTGACTCTGCCCAGTGCTCAACACAAACTGTTAGATCCAGAGTCCAACATGCTAACCTTAGGTCTCTTGGATCCTGACAGTGTTTGTTTGCTATGCCCATGTCTTTTACTTTCACATCACTCATCACTCAACTACAAGTCCCTTCGACATCTCTTTGCCATTCTTACCTTTTTCACATTTTCCTCGTTGTTCGGATGATAAGAACAGGTTATATCTTTCAACACTTTACAGCATTGCTCCACCATTTTCAGTTTCTCATGACACTCCATTTTAGCTTCATGTAGACTGGATGCTCTTGCCTAAAAAGAAACCATCAACAAGCATGTTTAAGTTTCGCGCACAAGTGCGATGCTTAGTGCATTGGACTACAGAGCAAGCAGCCCTGTTCTAAGCCCTGGCTGAGAGCATTGTAGTGTGTTCTTGAGCAAGATACTTCCATCTCCCAGTGCCTCTCTCCACACAGGGGTATAAATGGGCACTGGAAAGCCTAATGTGGGGGT